TGAAGATGGTTATTCATATTACAACGGAGATGGTGGTGCAATTCAAATTGGCTGCCAAAATTCAATGAAAAAGTTATCTGTCATTTTCAATCACTGTGAATTTAAAAACAATAAAGCATTTAGACATGGTGGTGCAATTGCTATACAAACCATAAAGGATGTTCAAATTAAAGAATGCACATTTCAGCAAAATCAAGCTAATTATGTTTTCCCATCAAATAATTTTACATTATCTCAGCAATTTAGTAAATCAGAAGCTTTTTCTGTATCAAATAAATTTACTAATTCTGATAAATTCATAAAAACGGATTGCTTTTCTCAATCCAATGGCTTCACTGAGTCCAATGCTTTTCAACAAACAAATGATTTCACTGAGTCCAATGCTTTTCAAAAAACAATTGAATCAAGTGTTTCAACAGCTGTTGAAGAATTTAATAATCCTCTTTATAACGGCATAACAAGAGATCCTTTTGAACAAGAAATAGATGAAACTGAATTATAAATTTTAAGATCTCTAATCATTAAAAAAATTTTTTTATATCAAATTTGTTATTTAAGAAAGAGTAATCCAACTAAATTAATTGAGTTTGGAACATTCATGTTTGTTATTTTATATGATTGTTATTTGAATTTTAGATAATAATTAAATTTTCTTGATTTAAGCTGATATTTACATATTGAAAAAATAAATGGCCAGTTACTTTGAAAAAGTTCAATTTTCTTGAACAACAAAAATTATTATTTTTCATACAATTTAATTATTTTATTTAATATTTGATGATATATTATATAAAGAAACTTTTTCAGAAAATAAACTATTTAAAAAGTGAAATTGAATGTTACTGTCAGAATGGAAATAGTTTACAAAATTTAATTTTCCTGATCTCAGCCGATACAAAAAATTATTTTCAATTGGAAATGGACAATTCAGCAAAGTTTTTCGTGTAGAAGAAAAAGAATTTTATGAATGACGAAGAAATCCAAGATCCAGAATCCATACTATATCTTTTTCGGGAAGCTAATTTGATGGTAATGCTTAATCATCCTTCAGTTCTCAAATTTATAGGATATAGTCAATATGATTTTAACAATGATCTATTACCAACAATTGTCAGCGAATTTGCAACCAGTGGCTCACTTCGCGATATCATTAATCTTGAAATTTCAGGCCTTGCTCCAGATGATTGGAATTTAACGAAAAAGCTAATTAATTAGGAATGTCATACATGCATAAGCACAATGCTATTCACCGTGATTTAAAACAAGAAAATGTATTACATGATGAATTTTTGTATCCAAAAATCTCGGATTTTGGGTTTTCAAAAATAACCGACATTCTTTTAAAAAGGACAAATCTAATGATACATATATTCGCTACATTTATGAATTTAGAAAAAATCATTTGTAACATAATTCAATATCATTATTTTTTTTTTGATTTCATGATATTTATTTTATCTTTAAAATTTTAATGAAATGCATTTTAATTAAACTGCTTCTATTAAAATATTTATCAAGAAAAAATTGCATAAGAATTTATAATATAAACAATTATATATATAAAAATAAAAACAATAAAAATTTAAAAACCAGTCTTGAATGCATTAATAGCATCGATAACTGATGTGTAAGTTGAAATTACAGCAATAACAACTCCAAAAATACCCGTAGTAATATCGACGTTGCAGATTTGCGCCATTTTTATTTTGTAATATAAAATATAAATTCTCAATTTTTTTATTCATTGAATATTTCACAGAAATGACAATAGAGGAAAAATAAAAAGAGGCGCTCAAACTTTTTGAATACCATAAATAGAATTCATGTCACCATTGTTCGGACAATTGGTGTCGGTTTCAAATTAAAAAAACTCAAAAGCAAGCACTACAACAGTCGCATCTCAAGCAATATTTCAAATTTATCTCAACTACAGTTTACCCTTGTCGTAGCACATATTTCAATATCCATTAAACTCGCCTAAACTCAATCTTTGGAACATCTTGTTCCTACATCATTCATCCAGAACATCAATCGCTATTTCATTACATCATTACTTATTATCTTAGCCATGTCACAACTCAATCTCACCTAAGTTTCTACCAGATATCTATATCTTAATCACACCAACCTCAGCCACTATTTAATCAGAATAAAAGCTCCCAATTCAATCACCTGTTCATTTCACTTGCATCTATCATCTCAGTATCAACTCCATAACATTTATATTTTTCATATCAGTTCCTACTCTCAGTCGTCATAATAAAAAATCAACTAAATTAATATTATTCTGATCATATTCATGCGTTTTTGACTAAAAAGCTTTTTTTAATATTATTTTATGTGAGAATAAATGCTCAATTTATTGAAAAAGTTTAAATTTTAAAGCTTATTTGGTCTAATAAGTAAAATCATATTTCTGGGGATGATTGCAATGAAATAATTCTATTTTCCTGTGTTTAGTTTTAATTAAATATAATATTCTCTCAAATAATAATTAAAATTTTACAAAAAAGCATCATTCTATAAAATTTTTGGAGATTTGAAAAAAATGAAATAATCAAATTAATTAATAAGCTTGAGAATTAAAAAATGGATACATATTGATAATAATAACATAAGAATTTTTGAATAATTTTTCTTTTTTTATAATTTGGGAATATTATGCTTATCAAATCAAATATTAGTGGAATTACTTAATGTTTTATACAATTATACATGATATTAAGTGATATTTATAATTTATAATAAAGTAAAATTCCCACATTGGAAGATAGAATTTATAATCAAATAGTTTTTCTAAAAAATGGATTCGAAAGCATTGCAAAAAAATCTTAAGTAGGTATAATAAAGAAATTAATATTTACTTTTGTCTAATTCAAAAATTTTCTTGTGAATTTTAATTCAATAATGTCAATTTCTTTAAATAGACTCCAAACTTATATAACAAATAATATATAAGCTAACTAAGAATAAAATGATAAAATAAACATTCTAAAATTTAAAGAAGTTTTTTTTTATTATATTTGTGATTTTGCCATCAGAAAAAAAAATTGAGATATACCAAATCTGACTAGTTCATTATATAAATCACCCAATATTAAATATAATTATATGCCAATAAACAAAATTGGAATATTTTCAAAAAAGATATTAGCGATTGAAAATTGGTGATATTTGAAAGTATCTGAATTGAATTAATCTGTTATCATTTTGCTATAGAGCATATGCTAACTAAGAAAAAAGTCATTAGCCAAAATCAGTTATATCTATCACATATGGAGAAAAATGAAATTCTTTGATTTCGAGTAAATTATAAACGGACAAAAAATATAACCATTTTTACGAAATAATCAAAATTGAATGCTTTTTATATAAATAAACTAATATCATTCAAAAAATAATTTTTTTTCTTTTTAAAATTTCTGAGAATTTCAATTAAAAAAATAAAAATGGCGCAAATCTGCAACGTCGATATTACTACGGGTAGCAAATAAACCGCTTAAAACGTTTGAAACAGACCATTTTCTATCTGATGCTAAAATATTTAATATAGAAGGAAAAGCGAAACAACCCAAACAACCACCTAAAGCACCACCGATTGTCATTGCAGGTTTACATTGAGGCAAAAACATTCCCAAAAGAATTGGTATGCAAACAGTTAAGCAAAACACAGACCAATATCTGCAATTGTCTAAATCATATGGATCGTTAATTTTAAAAATCAAATGACTCCAATTACACATGCAACTTTTCGCAATGATTGGAAATGAAAAACTAACAATTAGAAAGAAACAACCACGAACAACTGTAAACAAAACATCATTTGACTGAAAAGAATTAAGAAAGTTACCATTAGATTTGTCCCCGAATATTAAATACAACAAAATAGAAGGTGTAATTGTTAAAAACGCACTAATAATAAAAGAAGCGACAACCACATTTTTTCTTTTCTTGTAAGATTTTGAAAAAGGTGCCAAAATTGGAATTATTACACACGGCATTGAAAAAGTCAACGAATACACGCTAAGTGCAGAAAAGATTTGTACAGATACTAATTTAATATCGTAACGTAATTTTTTATCGTAACGTTATTTTTTTTATTAGAAAAATTTTAAAATATAAAATTCTAATTTTCTAAATATGTATTGAAGATAATTTATTATAAATTATATCAATATATTTGTTACGTAATAAGTAATATATCATATCATAATAAATATGAAATTCTTCCATATTGAGTGAGTTTTTCATTAAATTAATCAAAAAAATAAAAATGAATTATTTCATGATACATCGAATTACCTTTCAATTTAAACAAATACATAGCATCTATATGCAATAGCAATTAATATTTCTTCATAGTGATTAATTGTAAAACTATTCGATTGTGATAAAATAGAACAAAACAAAATTAAACGACCGTTTAAAATTATATTAAAAAATAAATGTTTCTTTTTAGCAAGCTTAAGTTATTAAAATCAATTGATATTTTAATATATATAATCCATATTATAAATAAGCATATATCCGGATTAAATTCTATAATTTATGTTTTCTTTCTTATGAAAATTTTTAATTATTTGTTTTTTTAAATTTCTCAATAATAAGTACCTCAGTATTAATGATCATAAATTCAAATGTAATGAAAAAAAAAGATAGATTTGAATTCCACGAAAGATTTCTAATTGAAATATTTTTGCAATTGACGTCAATATTTGGTTGTGATAATAAAATATCAACAATTTCTGTAGACCCTTTTTGCGAAGCTTATATTAATGGTGTTAAATTAAAAATTTGTATTCTATTCCATAAATGATTATAAATAAAATAGCATTAAAAATATTTAATAAATATATCGTAAATTAATGTCAATATTTTCATTCATCAATAAAAGTTTAATGATTTTGATGTTTTCTTTTTTAATTGCTACATATAAAGCTGGTTCATGATCTGAAATTTCATGAAATATTTGATTGTGAATTTAAAAAAAAACAAAAAAATGGTTGTTATGGGAGTTGAACCCATGATTCCTAGATTCTAGGTCTAGTGCCTTCGACCGCTCGGTCCAAACAACCTTCTTGTTGTTTAAAAAATTATACATTATAATAGCAATGTATGAAAAACTAAATAATTTTTACAAATAAAATACTATATATGATAATTTTTATTTAAAGATACATATGAATGCATTTTCATCTATTAGTGTCATTTACAAAAAAAAACTTAGAATGTATGATAATTGAGTAGCAAAAGGTAATGATAGTTTTTTTCGTAAAAAGTACATTAATCTTAATAAAAAAACACAAAAATTCATAATTACGTCAGTCAAAAGAAAGAACTTCAAAGTACTCTTATAGATCTTCTTGATAATCAAGATAATAATGACTACCAACAATTTATTTTTGATATTATCGAATCACAAAAAATTCAAGAGAACCGTGAAGATGTAATAGAACTTCTTTATTTGTTATCAAAAATAGAGAAAAATCATCATCGAAATCAACAATTTTCTACTAAAATTGAGCAAATTCTGCTATTTTTGAGTGATAAAATCAAACAAACCTTTTCAAATAATGAAATATTCAACATATTCAAAACCAGCAAATTAATTCTTCTTTTCTTATATAGAAATGGAATATTAACGATGAATGATTATATTCTTAATTATCTCAAACGAAAAAACTATGACGGTTATTTTTCACCTGAAATTGGAGAATTTGAACAGAAAGAAAAATCAGAACATGACACAGAAACAATAACAAATTGTAAAGAGAAACGGTTAATTGGAGAAAATGATGGTTATATTTGTCAATTAATTCGAAATGATTCAATTGAAGAGTTTGCATATGTAAACAAAACAAATTTATCACTTTCAAAAACAACGATCAAACCGTCATTTTTTGGAACGAATTCAATTTTAATTAAAAATAAAGAAATAACATTAATTGAATATGCTGCTTTCTTTGGATCAATTCAAGTTTTTCAATATTTAAATCTAAATAACGTTGATTTGAAACCATCTTTATGGTTATATTCAATTCATTCAAAAAATGCTGACTTAATTCATCTCATTGAAGAAAGTGATATCAATCCTCCAAATAATTCATATAAAAAATGTTTAGAAGAATCAAATGCCATCATAATGATATCGCTAAATACATTCAAAATATGTATTTATTAAATAAATCAGATTTTTCAAATTTCAAAGAGAATAAATATTCATATTTTTTCCACTCTCACAATTATGAATTCTTTCCAACTGATTTTAAAAACAAATTCATACATTTTTATTTATGCCAATATAACTATATAAATATTGTTAAAATTTTATTATCACAAAGTATGCGAATAGATTTGAATGAATCAAATATTATTCGACTTTTTTAATGAATAAAATTTTAATTGAATTTTTTTTAATGAAATTCAAAAACTATTTTTTTTTTTATAATAACGTTTCATAATCAATCATTTAAATAATATTTCATTAACTATATTGCATATTGCAGGAGAAAAAGATTATCATAAAATTATCAATCTTTTATTGACACAACCAAAATGTAAAATTCCTTCAAACTGTTTTCAAGGATGCAAAAAATTGTCACAGATCACGATTCCATCAACAGTGACAGAAATTGGAAGTGGTTCTTTCAGTGGCTGTTCATCATTGAAACCTATTTTGATTTTCCATGTCAATAATTAAGAATCATTTTTTTTATAAATGTGCATTTGAAAAACGAAAGAAATTGATTGCAACTCTTCGATTTTAAATGTTATTTTCAATTAGTTTATATTCAATAATTGCATAATATATGAACATTATTATTGAACTAAAATATATGTTTTTTATTGATAAGAGTATGCAAATATTCGTTTTTAAGATCTTTATTGAAAAAAAATATTCAATTTTTATTTTATGGAAAATACAAATTGAGATGATAAAATGATTTAATTTTATACTATTTATCTTATATTATGATAAATATTCATTTATTTATTTTAAATTAAATATTAAATACTTTGAATTACTAGATGTTTATTAATTCAAATTTTAGTAATCGAGATACTACTTTTAATACCAAGGTTACCTGTGTATATTCCTGATGGAATTGTGATTTGTGTTAATGATGAACACAATTCGAAAGCACTATTTCCAATTATAGTTACAGAAGAAGGAATTGTGATTTGTGTTAATGATGAACATCCTTTGAAAGCATAAGATCCAATTTTAGTTACAGAAGAAGGAATTGTTATTTGGGTTAATGATGAACATCCATAAAAAGTATATTTGCAAATTTTTTTTAAAGTAGAAGGATCATTGAATGTAATTTGTGTTAATGATGAACAATCATTGAAAGCACTATTTCCAATTATAGTTACAGAAGAAGGAATTGTGATTTGTGTTAATGATGAACATTCAAAGAAAGCATAAGATCCAATTTCAGTTACAGAAGAAGGAATTATAATTTGTGTTAATGATGAACATTTATTAAAGGCATATTTACAAATTTCTTTTAAAGTAGAAGGATCATTGAATGTGATTTGTGTTAATGATGAACATCCTTTGAAAACATTATTTCCAATTATAGTTACAGAAGAAGGAATTGTGATTTGTGTTAATGATGAACATCCATCAAAAACAGAAGTTCTAATTATAGTTACAGAAGAAGGAACTGTAATTTGTGTTAATGATGAACAACAAGAGAAAGCAGAAGTTCCAATTATAGTTACAGAAGAAGGAATTGTAATTTGTGTTAATGATGAACAACAAGAGAAAGCATTATTTCCAATTGAAGTTACAGAAGAAAGAATTGTGATTTGTGTTAATGATAAACAAAAATAAAAAGCACAATCTCCAATTTCAGTTACAGAAGAAGGAATTATGATTTGTGTTAACGATGAACAATTTGCAAAAGCATAAGATTTAATTGAAGCTACAGAAGAAGGAATTGATATTTGTGTTAATGATGAGCATCCATCGAAAGAATAAGATCCAATTTCAGTTACAGAAGAAGGAATTGTAATTTGTGTTAATGACGAACACCATTCGAAAGAATAAGATCTAATTTCAGTTACAGAAGAAGGAATTGTGATTTGTGTTAATGATGAACATCCAGAGAAAGCATTTGATCCAATTTCAGTTACAGAAGAAGGAATTATGATTTGTTTGAAAGATGAACATTTTAAGAAAGCAGAATTCCCAATTGAAGTTACAGAAGAAGGAATTATGATTTGTGTTAATGATGAACAACTACTGAAAGCACCATCTCCAATTGAAGTTACAGAAGAAGGAATTATGATTTGTGTTAACGATGAACAATTTACAAAAGCATAAGATTCAATTGAAGTTACAGAAGAAGGAATTGTGATTTGTGTTAATGATGAACAACTACTGAAAGCACCATCTCCAATTGAAGTTACAGAAGAAGGAATTGTGATTTGTGTTAATGATGAACAATCATTGAAAGCTCTATTTCCAATTATAGTTACAGAAGAAGGAATTGTGATTTGTGTTAATGATGAACATTCAGAGAAAGCATTTGATCCAATTTCTGTTACAGAAGAAGGAATTATGATTTGTTTTAAAGATGAACATTTTAAGAAAGCAGAATTCCCAATTGAAGTTACAGAAGAAGGAATTATGATTTTTTTAATCTTGGTGGAATGAAAAAGATTTTCAGATATTTTTTGCTTCTGTAGCAAAAAAAAATAAATAACTTCAACTTCATTCTTTCCTGCTGCTGTTCGAATATTTGGATATTGGATCATTTTCTCTTTAATCAATTTTTCTTTCTTCTTTAATAAAAGATCGAAAAGTTTATCATAATGATAAAAGCTTAAATAAAGAAAGCCATGATCAATGATTGCATCATTTTGAAAATGCAAGAAATTGTGATATTTTATGTAATTTGAGATGATTTCTTCATTCTGTTGTGAATCTTTTTGATCTAGAAAATTATTTTCAAAATAATCTGCGATATCATTGTGATGGCATTTAATAGACTCAATAAAACATTGTTCATAATTTTTGCTGGAATTCTCTTCTTCGCTCTTAAATTTTGGTGGAGGAACTTCGGTTGATTCAAGGAGATGAATCAGTTCTGCATTTTTTGAATGAATTGTATAAAGCCATAATGATGGTGTTAATTCTGCTTTGTTCATTAACAAATATCGAAATATTTGAATGGAACCAAAAAATGCTGAATATTCAATCAGTGTTGAGTTCTTATTGTCAATTAAAAATGGATTCGTCTCAAAAATTGATGGGATAATTTGACTTAATGGTGAAATATTTTGGCTGGTCAAATATATTATGAAGTCTTCAATTGAATCTTGGCGAATCAGTGAACAAATGTATGACTCATTTTCACCTGCTTCTCGTTTCTCTTCATAATTAGTGAAAAAACTAGGATTTTTTTTCAAAAGTTCATTTTTAACAAATTTCATTTTTTCTTCACCAACAAAATTTTCAAGCTCTGGAATGAAAAAGTGCCAATATCGGTTTCCGTTGTTTTCAAATTTGTTCACAATTTCTTTACAAATTTCATCCGAAAGTGTTATGATGTCTTCTTTTATTAGGAAAAGAACAATCTTTTTGTTGTTTTCAAAAATGTGGAATATTTCTGTATTTGACAAGGTCTGTTTGATTTGGTCTTTATATTGTAATAGAAGTTGGTTTATTCGTTCGTTCAAATGTTGATTTCGGTGATGATGTTCTCCAATACTTTTGATGATTTCTAAAAATTGGCGCATTTCTTCTTCATCTCCTTCATTTTGTTGAACTTTAATTAATTCTTGGATTGATTCATTACCGGACTCGTCATCATTATGCTCATCAGATTCTTCAAGGAATTTCAGAATTGATGTGTAAAGATTTTTTTTATCTTCAATATAGCTTTCCATCGTTTGATGTGTAAAGTTTTTTTTGTTATAATAACAATGTTATTCATTTTTCAATGCGATATATTCAAGTAAAGATTCAATTTTATTTTAGTTTTAAATCTTTTCTATCTTCATATTTTTAATAATTATTTATCATATTAATATTATAATAATATATATGTAATTAATATTTAAT